AAACTAACATAACATAAAACAAATATAAGGTCTATCATAACAGTTAAACAATATAAATAATAATAAACAGTTGTTAAGTCATCGTTTATGAACCTAACATTAAGTCGTTCTACTCTGCTGATCCTCACTTGAGAGATAATCACCGGCTTCCTTCAGACAAAGAAAATTATACTAGAGTCTGTATTTAATTATATATTATATCTAGTTAGCAGAATGACCTAGGTTGAAACTCTTTTTAGTCTTAAATAAAAATATAATATTACTTTTCTGTGGATTTTCTAGATTCTGTTTTTAATTTATTTATGGACTTTGTCTCTTAGAAATAACATCCTTCATAGTAATTTTCTTTTCTAAGCTATGATGTTATACTAGCTGTTTACCCGCGACTTTGTCCGCATAGAATGTGAATTTTAGAACATAACTTTTGTTGCGTTTCAATTTTTCAAAATAATACATCAGCTAACTTGTAATAAAAGACCTATCTAAATCGGTCCAGCCATTCCAGAGATTAGCCAGTGCAAACAGACAGACAGACAGACAAAAATAGTTAAAAAATGTCATTTTGGTATGTATCTTATATATATTCATAGTAGTAGGTATTTTACAAACAGACATTCCAATTTTATATATCTGTATAGATGTATAGATAAAAATAGATATGTATTAAAGACATATTATTTAAAAGTTGAATAAAAGATTTTATATACAAAAATAATAGTTGAAGTGAAGAACCTCTCCTATTATTAAATTTAGTTAGTTACTATAGAAAGTCATACTTTCAGTAATCTACTATCTTAGATCTGTAACCAGGCAGGATTACAGGCAACAAACATGACAAACATCTCAAGGTCGAGTCGCAATTTATATTTTCTTAGAAATGTACGTAACCACAATAGATAAACGAGTTAGTATCTGAACCCGCGACCCCTTGAACTGCAGTGCAACTTCTGAGCGCATGACCTTCGCGACGTATTACCCAACCCTTACTTAGACTTATATATTTCTTTAGACATCATTTTAGAAGAAATTTATTTTTACATTTATCTATATAATTTTAAAAATGAATTTTCGTTTTCGTTAGTCTCGCTAAAATTAGAGAACGGATGAACTGATTTGGCTAATTTTGGTCTTGGAATGTTCGTGGAAGTCCAGGGGAGGTACGGAGTTTGCCGGGGCTAGTCTTCTACCTCTATATATAAAAATGAAACCAGTTTCCCGTTATATAAGTTATATCACCCCATAACTTGAGAATGGCTGGACCGAATTGGCTGATTTTTTTTTGTTGTGTTTGTTATTGTCAGGAGAAGGTTCTTATGATAGAAAAAAATCCTGAAAATCTTATGGGAACGGGACAAAACGGGATTGCGCGTACAAAGTCGCAGACAGAAGCCAGTTTTAAAATATAATTAAAATAGTGTCTATTTATATATTGCTTCGTTGATGGAGTGATTGTGTGATTGCTGAAAAAGTGATTTCAGGTTTTCAGGTGAATTAAGGTGATCTAAAATTTTATTTATTTTGTAAAAATAGGTGGTACATGGAATATGTCAAATTATATATCAGAATTCATAAAAACGGAGACCAAGTCTAAAGTTTTCAGGGAATTAAAAGGTGTTACATAATATAATTTAGTATATTTAGTAGGCTGCGCGACATCGCTGCGAACGCCCACGCTGTTTATGAGGAAGAACCCTCTGTGGTCCGAAACTAGTAGAGCTTTTCTCTGTATTTGCACGTGAGTGAAAACTGCGATTTTTAGTTAATTATATAATTTATTGTGTAATATTTTAAATAGACAGTGTGTAAACCTCGTGTATGTAAGGTCAATTTAATTTAGAAATATTTTATATTTATTACTTTTATTTATGTAAATGGCCGTCAAATTTATGATTTTGGGAAAAAGGATATGATGCATGCAACCAAGGTGTATATTTAGTTTATATAGTAATATTATTTAATTACCTATTATTAAATGAAACCTACTGTATATTTTTATATTACATACAAAATTTAGAGAAAAATTAAATTTATTATTTAAAGTGGAAACTTTTCTAAAATCTTCTCGGCAATAGGTATATCTTTCGATGTAGTGTAGAGGGAGATGCAAATGTAAAAATCAATATATATTTATATATCTTTCATACATATAAAAATGAATCCCTTTTTCCCTTGGTAACGGCATCACACGTAAATTGCTGGACCGATTTCACTAATTCTTTTCTTGTTGTATTTGTTATTATTATGAAAAGGTACTTATGACATAAAAAAACCCGAAAATTCTACGGGAACAGGAGAAACGGGATTACGCGTATGAAGTCGCGGGCTGACGCTAGTTATCTGTATTTGTTATCATCTTTTGAATGCCATGTTAAAAGATACACAGACCTTTTTATATTTATACATATAATGGTAATAGGTATTAATGGATCATGGACCCCATTCCTTTTTGAAACGTTCCCCGCAAAATTTTCTCCACTATCATGAGTGCGTTTACAAATACAACAACATTTTATGACTAGTTAATATAATTTTGTCTAGTGTGATGTGAAAAAAGTGTGTCGTGGTGGCCCGAAGGCTTAAGAAGCTTGCTTCTCATGCATGATGGTGCGGTTTCGAAACCTACCAACGGCAAGTACCAATGTGACTTTTTCCGAGGTATATGTACTTTCTAAGATTATTTAGACACCACTGACAAACGGTGAAGGAAAACAACAAACGGTGAAGGAAAACATCATGAGGAGACCATAAGCCTAGGTTCAAATTTCTAATAATAAGTTTGAAATTGCCAATCTGTCTTGCGCAAGCGTGGTGATTAATGTAAGAAGAGGCTTTCCTCAGCAGTGGGCATTTATAGGCTGTCAATGAATATAATTAAGCTACTGGGGACTCAGATTCACTATCACTCACGAACAAACAAATCATCGATTTACAGACAAATATCACAATATTAGCATACGACTGCAATATGCATATACATATATACTATATATGCGCCCATGCACACACTAAACATGTTGCAATCCACAATATATAGCCTGCCATCCGATCGCTGTGAGAAATGAACCATTGTGCAGTCTCTCTTACTGACTACCTATTGTTGTACACCGTCCTTCTTCAAGGGGAATGGGATCTGTAGTCGATAAGGCTTTTTAGCTACTTTTATTAATATTATGGTCGCTTATTTGAACAATATAAAATTTGATGAATTGAATTTCGAATGTCATGCTTCTTCATTCTTCTGTATCCACGGTCAGGAACCAACGATCCAGTCGCAATAGAAAATCCTACTTAATTTATTTGTCTCTGTATTCGTAATCGTCATATTACTTTTGACCAAAGTTTTTTAAGGTGAATGCAATTACATGTTTTCTTCTTATGTCGTTCTCTAATCAATTTCTGTACTAAATTACATATAGTTCATATGCACGCGGTCCATTATTATGAGCCACTATCGTAGCTTGAAACTAGTCGAGCACCATCTCCCCGTTAAACCCCCGTTTGAATTTAAACCAGTATGAATTCAGTGACAATAATATCCAAACTTGACATCAATTGAGTCATCCATTTTTAATATGAATCATACGTTTTTGCAATAGGTAACAGAGTCGAATTTTCGCTAACTCACGACTGAGATTATTATCATTAAGACAATGGTTAGATTCGGGTCGATCTCGAAATTATTGTTATTTATTTTTAGTTTCAGAGGTCGAGAGGTCAATGGATTTTCCAAATACGTCTTTATGTCCATGACGATACATAATGACGCATCTACCTTTGCAAATAATAAGACAGAGCATATAATAGAATAGACAGAATTCATATAGGTATAGGTGTTTAGAAATAATATGTGTATAACGTAAAATATAGGTACTAAACCTCTTTCAAACTATTGTATTGCCGGCGCCAGACATGTGCCTAAGAATAGTGCAAATACCCACAAAAAGCGAGAACAACTCTATAAAGAAGAAAATGTCTCAGAATAAAGAACTTTGGCTTTGATAGAAAAACGTGATACTATTAAATTTATGAATACACTTCCTACTTAGAAATTCTAAGAAAGACACAATTTAATACTAGACAAATATAGGAAAATAAGTTTGGTAACCAAAGCTATTGAAAAGTTTTGACAATTAACTCAATTTGCTAGTTTTTAGTGTTTGTCACAAATGAGTCGGCTCGACCGAAGTGACTACGGCCTCACAGAAAATCGGCGTTAAACAAGGATTTGCGATGTGTTTCATCGTGAGTGAAGTTACATGAGGCCTAATCCCCCGAACCACCAAATTTCCAATCACTAAAAGGCTGGTAACGTACTGATAAATCTTCTTTTTTTATGAGATAAGGTGGTAAACTGGCAGACAGATCACCTGATGGTATGCAATCGGCGTCGCCCATGGACACCTAGAACACCAAAGGAGTTAGAAGAGCTTTACCGGCCTTTTTGAAATTAGGAGTTTGAGGATTGTGGGCGATTCGGGGATTGGGGAGACTGAGGAAGGGGGTAATTGGGCCTCCGGTAACCTCGCTCACACGACGAAACACAACGCAAGCGTTGTTTCACGTCTATTTTCTGTGAGGCCGTGGTATCACTCCAGTCGAGCTGGCCCATGGCTCTCCCACTCTTCTAGTGCAAGTGTCCATGGGCGGCGCCGATTGCTTACTATCAGGTGATCCATTTGCTCGTATACCCTATACTTATACATAGAGGTACATAAAAAACCACGAACTTGATATCGCTGTTTATGGTCTTTCCAAGACCTTCACAGCATGATAGCCATTACGCAGTGATACGTGTTCACCATAAAACATCGCGTATTACCTTACCGGGGAACCTTACAAGGATACTTTTAGTTTTGTAATAGAATCGTGGTTTTGTGGGATTATCCTTGAACTTACCTCTATATTGAATTTGGTGTCATAATCTTGGATAATATGCAATAAATGAACCAATTTGTTTTCCTGACTTATAAATTAAAATTTTTATTTCAGGTAAAACGAAAATGACGACGAAATCGAAACGACTGGGATTTCAGCTAAAGACTTTTGTTTTGGTAAGTTTTACAATTTATTGAATTGGGTACTTGCCAACTAATCAAATTCAATACTTTTTATGAACTAATAAAAACGACAGTTGTTTTATGAATATTGTACGTGGTTGTGTATTGTGACGTCACAGGTTTTTAGCGTTAAACAGTATACTTATTTCTTAAAAAATTACCGGAAAAATACTAAAACTAAGTTGGTCATAAAATCAATTTATGAAAGTGTGATTATTTTTATATTTTTATTGTATTGAACAGTCGAAATAATTTATTTTTGATTAAGGAAAGTAAGCTTAGATACATCAAAGTAGGCTATCTCATATAATAAAAACTAAAATGCCTCATACCAAAAAAAAAAAAACTAAAATTATGTACTACATACATTTAAAAATTAAGTACCCAACCCTAAACTGCAGCACCTAAAAAATAGCACTCACAAATTAAACAAAGTGTTGTCACACTTTGTTTAATTTGTGAGTTTAATTTGTGAGTTACAATCTAATTATTTATGCAATGTCTTAATTCCTATTATTATTTGTACTCCCAGTCAATTCACATCCTTGATCAATTCACAGCAGGAGTGTGACTAAAGTATAACATATTAACTGTGACCAATTTGTAATTATTCATACTGATTTAGTTTTTGAGTAATACTGACTAATAGGTATTTGTTTCGCTATTTTGTTACGTTGAAATTTTTTATATTTTTTGTTCCTTTTGACCGGGAATAACCTTTGGTTGGTTTTATTAAGATGCATAATTTTGAGTATGCTCTTGTTATTAAGCATGTAGAAAAGATAATCTCCATTTTTTGGGTAATAGTTGGGCCCATTATGCCTTTTGTAAAGCATTTTGGTAATGTTTAAAGCAGACCATTTTAAACTTTTTAAATATATTTAAGAAGAAAAATAATTTAACTAAAATCGCGGGTTACTCACGTGAACATACTATGAAAAGCTCGACTAGTTTCGAACGAGTGAGCTGCGCGACATCGCCACGACCGCGCACGCTGCTCATGAGGAGAACCCGCGATTTTAGTTGATTTAGTATGTGTCACGATAGTTATTATAAAAACAGAAGAAAAATAATATATGTGTGAAAGTTTCTTTGTTTAAATATTTGTCCGTCAATCACTCTGAAAGTACTGATGGATTTTGATGAAATTTGGTATATAGGCAGGGTATGGGTTGACTTAGGTGATAGGATATTTTTTATTCCGATTAAATGCTCCATGTAAAAAAAATAATATCATATTCACGGTCAAAGTCGCGGGCAACATATCGAAATTCAAATCAGATCTCCTAAACTGCGTATACACTAATTTTCTATTTAATGTTGATTACTTAACACAAATTAAACACGCTACTCGTATTAAGACAAACACACACACCACTTACTCTATATCTCACACCATATAACGAGAAGGAAAACCTCAACAAACACTAGAACGCGTGTTCTTTCACCAGAGACCATAAACCATTGCGCGTCATTGCGTCACCGTCACAGCGCACTTGACACAATGTCAGGTTGACACATATTGTGACGCGTGGCGTACACAGGGTTAAAATTAAGGTTGCACGATTTGTGGTCACTATTCTTAGTGTTTTGGTAAACATAGATTATAGATGATTTCGCTAATGTTTGTTGTGCATTCTAAATGGTGTCGAAATGCCTATGTGTTTAGGTATGTTTTAGATTTTTCATGTTGACTCTGTTGTATGAAATATTAGGTTTTGGCTAGACTTGGTTATTATGCAAATAGTTGAAATAGAATATAGTAATAGAGCGGAATATCTTTGTAGTTTAAAATTAGTTTTACTTTACACAGTCTCCATTTAGGGTCATAAATTACTTCTAATTTTCATTTTGGAGTCGGAGGCAAAAAGCAAAAGGATTACCTGATGGTAGATAAGCAGCCAGTGCCACCTGTCACCCCAAAAAGTCCCAAGTGTATTGCCAGCCTTTGTCAAATAAAGTGGATCAGGACAGATTTTAACATCAAACCAAGTGTGAAAACATTACTCAACACCGCACGCAATGACTCACAAACTAATAACTGCATTAGTACACATAACACTATCATTTAGATCCTTTCGCGTCACAAATCGCATTCAATTTTAAATCGGTGGCGCGTGCGCAGCTATGCTCTTGCGCAAGCCCCACCCACGATGACACGGAACTCTAAACACACATACATTACTGCGAAAACAAGAAAAATAAGTCTAAATACTCGTTCAAAACCAGTAATGGAATGTAAACTAATAAATTAGCATCGAATTTGACCTTGAAATTTTCTTTTTTTGGTAAAATTGCATTTTGTTGTTTGACGTGTTATGTAGTTTAAAGGTCATTGAACTATATTCAGGTGGGTCGACGATAGGCAGTGAGACGTTGGCATTCCATTGTCTAATTCCATCTTTTGTCGTAAAAGTTAAAGTTTTGCAAAGCTGTAAAACTATGTGTTGTTTTGCATAAATATATTATAATATTATGCACGAAATTGAAAAATAAGAAACCACTCAAACTCAAACTCAAACTCAAAGCATTTATTTCAATTAAACCATAATTTGGTACTTTTGAAACGTCAACAAATAGAAATAAATAATAGTCTGTCAGTCTGTCCGTCAGTGAAGCTAGGCGCTCGTTCCAAAATGTCGATTCGAGTGGAGAAGAACGAGCAAGAAACTCCATTCGTTACTCTTTTAAAAAAAGTCTGTTTTACATTGCTCTGATACATATTCCAATATTGTACACACATGTGACGTATAATTGAATGGTACGGTGAAGTCAAAATATTGTTATTTAACCAGTTCTATACATAACTCGCTTCTTCCAGCGGATCTGATGAGTTCCCGAGTACCTTATGTCAAAGTCAAAGTCAAAATAATTTATTTCAATTAGGCCAGAATGGCACTTTTGAACGTCAACAAAAAGAAAATTACAAGTGAAGCTATTTGCTCATTCCAAGGCGTAGATTTCTATGGAGAAGAACGAGCAAGAAACTCCATCCATAACTCCACTCCATACTCTTTTTCAATCAGGTTCACAATACAATTTACTAGTTACATAGTTTTGCTGTTTAGATTGTGCGAGAACAATGTAACACTAAAATCTAGTCAAAGTGATTGAAAAAGAAAATAACCTTTAAGACAATAAAAAATACAGTCTGGATGTGTTATTTAAAACCATAATCTACCCTTGTTCCAAATATCATCCCGATCCCTTCAGCTGTTAGGACGTTATTGAGTCACAAACAGACAAACACACAAACTTTCGCATTTATAATTACTATTAAGATTTAGTCGACTATTCTTACGTGTATATCATTATTTTCTAAAAATAAGTCTTATATATTATTCTAAAGTGAGCACATGACTTCAATTACAGTTTTACATTAGGTACTTATGTATATATCTATATAGGTACTTTAATTACATTAATTGAACACATTGAATAAGGTACGATGGGATTGGCATATCCTTAAAGGATAAAAACCCCAATAATACATTTATTTATAAATAAAGTTAAAAAAAAGTCTTATATAGTTATTTATTTAAAATTGTGTGCTAAAATAAAACCTCATTATTATGCAGCAAATAAATGTATAAGAATTACTTATTTAAACAGTTTTAATTAAAATATTTAGCTAAAAGCATTTGACTGTTTTAAGGATAATAAATATAATGAATTAGTTTTTATAAGTAATTTAATATTATAAAAAGCATATAAAGTTTGGTCACCCATAATGCAATACAATATTCGGTTTTTCCAAAAAAAGTATTATTTATTTCATACAAAGTACCATTGAACATGATATGTAATTCTGATTCTAGCAAGTAAGATTGCCGGTCTAGCAAAGATTGATTCCCTACGCATTGAACATTTTCGATTTTTTTCGAAAATTACTTAGTAATAGTAACAAGTCTTGGATGCTATCTATTATAACATAACATCACGCCTTTTATCCCCGAAGGGGTAGGCTGAGGTGCACATTATGCCACTGTACAATGTAGTGTTACATTGTACTTATAACATAAATAGTGAAAAGTGGGTGCCCACTTTTCACTATTTATGTCCCATGTAATAGGGGGTGAGCCTATTGCCATAATACCGAGCACAATTCCAGACTCCGTGCTACAACTGAGTTTTTTTTTAAAACCCAGTAATACTTTGCCCGACCCGGGAATTGAACCCGAGACCCCTTGTCCGGCAGTCGCACTTGCAACCACTCGACCAACGAGGCAGTCTATCTATTATAATTATACATATTATCTAACTAACAGTTTGCTGGCCTTTAAACTCTACAAAAATTATATAAAAAGGATAAGTATTTATTTTACCCACACTGGGCTTTCAAAAATATTACTTTATGTATTATCACATAAAATATAAATATTTTGCCAAAATTATGTATGTAGCTATGCCATCGATTTGATGTTATATAATAAAAGTTTATGAACGGCCAAACTCGTTCGACTCGCTGTCTCCAAGCGGTGATACTTTATTTTACATACTTGGATTAGTGATGACTAATCAACACCTTTCTTGATAACTTACCTTTAAAGGAACATACAAACTGGTTAAAAATGCGCCAGTATAAAAAAAATTAAAACTATCCTATCCTGGTACACCGCGGTTACTGTCTTCTGTCTTTCCCGGGTAAATTATCTTATTTTGTGTCTCATATATAAACCTTCTTCAGTAGTATTAAGCTTTTATGATTCTTCAGTGGTATAAAAGTATACAAACAAAAAAATTTCAAATATAAATTAAACTCTTTTATGGTGGCAGTGTGCCCTGCATGAGCTGAGCACCACCATATCCTCAGAAATGTGATCGACGATGGCAACCTCTCGCGTCTGGCTCTGGTTACACAAAAAAGAAACAAAAGACTAAAGTTCATAGTAGTAAGCAAGACCCTAAGATAGGTCTTATAAAGTAGACTTTATACATACCTACATTCTATCACAAACAACCTTTAATATAACCCTAAACCCTTCAGTCTGTCG